ACCATGCTCAAATAATACACCTATTTCATCATCACCATGTTCAAATAATACTTCTATTTTATCATCACTATGTGCAAGTCCTAAATCTTCACCATGTTTGAATCGTGAATTTGAAGAATTAGTATTTGTCAACCTTAATGCTGACTATTTTTCTAAAGCTAGGAATACAAATAGTAGAATATGTCCTGATGGCCAATTAATATATGAAAGTATATTTCCTAGATTTAAGATGGAAGTAGGATCACTTGAATTAAGTAAACTGGTAAATTCATCATTCAATAAGAAACAGAGTGATAAGGCAAAGCTTATATTAGCAATGCTGATATCTGGAGCTCACGTTCGTAATGATTTTGATCCTTCATACATAACCCAATCTATTCAAAAATTGCTTGAAGAAATTGGATATGTGACTCTACAAGTTCACAATGAGAATTTAATTGCACATATATATAACTTCACTTATAGCCTAATTAAAGTAAGACAAATTTTAATTGATGTCTTAATTCTGGTTCATCCTACAGTTCGAATTAGATTAGCAATTCTTTGGAATGCTAAATCATTAATCAGATTTGTGGCCAAAATTAGAAATTACAAAAATTCTTAGAGAAAATAGATACCAATTTTAAATTATTAATCAATCGTCTTGATAATAAGGCACCACTTGAGCTTTTAATTAGTAAGGAAAAATTTTATCAAAAATTTATTTATCTGAGATTATATGAGATCCTGGCAAGGCGGTTAGCCATGTCAGAATATTACAAATGTAAATAAAACAGTTATCGCTATTTGGTTATTTTAGTTATCAATAATAACACGTAAAATGTGATGTAATAATTTTCAGATCGATACATTATCATTATTAACAAATTTTGAGTAATATCTCAAAGCAATTAAAGCTACTCAAAACAAACAAGGAATTATAACTGTTAATGAATGGTCTTCTTTTTTTGAAAAGTTTTATAGATTACACAAAAGATTGCAATCAAGTGGTTCAAGAATAAAAAAAATAGAATTACCTTTGATAAATTTTACCAAAATTATATTTACTAGATTTACAAATTAATTCTACCAAAATTATGCTTACTAAATTTATGAATTAATTCTACATTTGGGTGAAAATATCCAATTTCGTGATGATTTAATGGAGTAATTAAGGTTAAATAAAATTTGAGCCAATCATTTATGTGATATGGCATGATTATTAAGAATAAAAATAGTTTTTTGATCAGAGATTGTAAGCCTAATAATACTTATCGTTATGAATTTTACTCATAAATTTGTACCTGATTGTAACCTGATGTTTTTATAAAATTTTGTGCATATGTACCTAGTTGTAACCTAATGACTTATATGTAATTGATTACTTGTACGTATGTACCTGATTGTAACCTAATTACTTACAATTTTTTTGTACGTATGTACCTGATTGTAAACTAATTACCTAAATTTAATAAATTTATATAATTGGTTTCATATCCCACCCGCATCGATACAGTGAGAATCACTTCTGACCCAATAAATACACATAAGAAATTATAAAAAAAAAATTGTAAATAACACAAAAATTTCTATGCTAACTAACTTCTGACCTCTAAGTAAAAGTTTTCAGAATGAAATTTTACTCATAGAATAAATTTTTTACTGTTAGATATGTATGGAATTTTTGAGATACTACGACCCATATTTTTTGGCCGGTAACTCGGGATTTCCTTGACATAAAGGATACTCACAAAATATTACTATTATTACATAAAATAAGTTTAGCCATAGGGGCAGAGCCAGTAGATTTTAATAGTAGCAAAAATAGCACTAGCGATATCACGACAACCATATAACCAAATCTGATCAAAATTGGTTTATTTAAATTCTATAGATTTGTAGAATTAAAATAAAACAATTTTGGTCAGATTTGGTTATATGGTTGTCATGATATCGCTAGTGCTATTTTTGCTACTATTAAAATCTACTGGCCCTACATAGGAGTCTGCAAACCAAGAATGCAGCTGCTATCACTAAATATATTTTTTTTAACTCGTAATAATAACAATGTCAAAATAGGTCCAAGCTGATGGTTAGATGATAATTTAATGGTTTAATGCAAATTTTTCTTGCAGAAATAAGTAAAACAATGGTTTCGCCTTCCGGAAGAACTAATTATAGCTTTTGCTTTAATAATTAAGACACTCCTTCGTATTTTAAGGAATTAATATACCTGATTTATATAAAGAAATAATATTCAAAGACACTCTCTTATATGCGGTGATGGGCTTGTTCAGCTATGATTTCCTGCGTGAATTTTTTGAAAAGATTTTTTTTTGCCTTGGTTACTGAATTTTCATCATATTCATCTAATTTCTATCACCGATTCATCTTGCCAATATTGCAAATAAAAGTCTATCACTTTTTTTATTGTGTTTGTATATTCTTATATAAACCACATGCTGTACTTAATAGCCACAAGCAAAATATTTTGATTCACCAACATGGCTCAGTCTTTCCAAAATCTTAGAGGATTTGATCTTCGCTGTATTTAACTTTCTCCAAGGGTTTTAGCTTTAGTGAGAGTTTCGCTATTTACCAAAAATAGTTTCACCTAACAACACTACTCTCACCCTGTAGTATATGAAGAATTATACCTGGATTTGGTAAGTCTTTAAATAGTATATAACCACTTGAAATCTCCCAGAGAATGACACCTAAGCTATAGATATCAGATTTTTTAGTAAATGTAAATTTGTCTAAAAGACATTTTAAAGCCTGTGGATCTGTGAATGCAGGAATTCCATAAACATTACACCTAATCGAGGCTGAATGTGAATTTGTGAATATAGAACGATTAAAATCAGCAAACATCATTTTTCCCATATGAACAAAAAAAAAAATATAAATTAATCAAAAAATCAGCATTTAACTGTGTATATGAGAATTTTAAGAAATTCGACGCATAACAATTTTAGTTGTACCGGTCTATATGAAAATCATGTGATTTTCATATAGACCGGTGTGAATAACCTGTAAAAAAAAGCACAGGTTGTTACATAGTACCCATGGGATAATAAGATAAAATCTTGTTGCATATATGGGGATGCCCACAGCAAAACAAGGCTTCAGAACTATATATTATATAGTCCCTAAGCCTTGTTTTACTATAAACATCCCATATGTTGAGATAAAACTATATTGTGAATTTGATATTTAAAGATAGACATGATAATATTGTTAATAATATAGCTAGTTTGTTTGTTAGTTATTTGTTTGGTTTGTATAGTATTTATTAGTTCAGTGATTTTTTGTATAATTAGTTTAGATATAGTAAATTGTTTGTTAGTTGCTATATATCAATATTCTAAAAATTTTAAAGATATACTTAAAGCTTGTATTTGTATTGTAGAGTTCATAAAGTTAAATATAGGTGTGCTTTGTATTAGATATAAGATTAGATTTGTGTGGATTAACTTTTATATTTGTCATTTTGTGAATATTGATGCTGTGTTGATGATATCTTGGAACTGTTGTTGGGAATTTGCAATCCATAATGTATTATCCATATATGCAAGAATAGAAGAATTGTTTGATATCTAATAGGAAATAGTAAAATTTGTTTTGTAGCTAAAATAGTATATTTTTCATATTTACTATAGATATATTGAATAAGTGGGTCATAGTATATTTGCTATAACATGTTTTTCAAGGCAAAGACTCTATATACAAAAATAATCAATATATTTTATTGTCGACAAAATAGAATTAGCTATTAATTATTCATTCTCTATTCTGTTATCTTTTATTTATCTGATGGTAATTTGTAAGAATACACTTTGTTCTTTAATCTAGATAATGAGATTTTAAGTTCAGTCTATAAATATATATAATGTTAATGTTGATAATAATAAAAAAGCGAATGCTAATTTTAAAATATTACTTTGTATATCCAAAATATCATCTATTTTATTTGGTAGATTGAAATATACTGGTTTTCCATTTGCAATTAAAATTAAAAAATTATTGAAGTCTTCATCGGATAGTAATTGAAAAAAATGTGGTGAAGTACTCAAATTCACAAGCTGTTTTACTGTTGCTAAATTTTTATTTAGAATAAATCTAATATGACATATAGCTGTCCAGATTCTTTTTCCCCTCTGGATTTAATTTGAAAAAATGATTTCATTTTACATCCAACCCATCCACAAATAGATCTGAATAGTGCAGTAATATAAAAATGAATTCCGGAATCTTTTTTTTGTTTGATACTCATCTTTTGATTGCTGTCGAGTGGTTCCTTTATAGCCAGTTGGAAAAGAACTGTGTATGCATCATAAAGCTTTAAGAAATGGCAAAACCTTTGAAGCTTAACTTCAGCATATACTTTTTCTATGTTTTTATCAATGCTCACATTTTTAAACCTTCTTTCATGGATCCTAATTTATTTCCCTCTGCTTCGTCTTGAACTTAAAATTGTGGGCTGTCATATTTCAAATCATCACTATGTTCAACATTGGGTTTGGGATTGAGAATCAATTTTGCAACAGTTTTCCATCCTGGAGCTATTTTATTATAAATATAATAAGTTAAATTATGTAAATTAGATCTAATAATAAATATTTACCTGTTTTAATATCTGCTTATTTATCATCATCATCTGTCAGATCTTTGTCATTATCTACTGGGTTTTCATCATCATTATGTGCCAAGCTATTATTTGCTGCCAAGAATTTTTTCTCTTTTGTTATCGACATTTTTTTTACTCGTTTCACTTTTTTTCTCGCAATCTCCGGCTCTTTGAGTATGGGTTTGGGTCAAAATCCTGACAAACAGAATCCCGACAGGTCATAATCCCGACAAAAAAATCCGGACAGCTAAAAATCCCGACAATCAAAAATCCCGACAGTTAAAAATTATGACAATTAAAAACACTGATAAAAAATATCATAGACCATAGCAAACCCTATCTTAACCATTATCTAAAGTGACCTAACCCTAAAATTAATTAAATTATAAGAGTCTATTTTGCTTTAAACATATCTCATACTTGGGATTTTCTACCTAGAAATTCTGGCTGTCAGGATTTTTAATTGTTGGGATTTTCGACTGTCAGGATTTTTTGTCGGGATTATGACCTGTTGGGATTCTGTTTGTCGGGATTTTGACCCGCACCCTTGAGTAATACTCATTTTTTACTCTCATTCAAAGAAATTATAGGTTGTACTTCAAAGGTGCCTTAAATAAAATCTTATTAATGAATTATCTTTTAACATACTAAATTAATTTGCTATAATTACGTTAGTAATTACTAAAAGTATTTTCAGCCTTTTCTTTCCATAGTTTTATAGAATATTCATCTGCAAATGCCCAATTTTGTAAAGAGATGATCCATTCTAAGTATTTGCTTATTTGTGTTTTTTCAGGAATCTCGTTACACCTGAAAATAGACTCAATTCACGTATTTATGTTTTTCCAGGTTATTGTATAATTTTCACCTCCCATCTTATCCAATATTTTATCTAATATGGAGCTGTTTGTTTCGCTATTCTTATCCGCTTGTGTACAAATTTGCTGCATTAATGATTGAAACAGTTTATTAACTCATATTTTATAGGTCTAAAAATTAGTACTAATAATACTATAATATACCATCCTTTCTTGCTTTAATTTTTCAAGTTCGGATTGGGTTTCCTAGATTTACTAAAGTACTAAGTATAATAATATTTAAGTAATAAATTTTTTAAATTTCTTACCATTAATTTCATTTCAGTTTCATTGAGTCTTATTTTTATTTGTTCATACTCGTTATTATGCTAATAAGTAAAGAGTATAAGTAATTATTTATATATTTAGTTCTAACTAAAATGACCTATTATTTTTTACCAGAAGGTAACTATCGATATTTTCATATTTTTCTTTAATGTTAAAAGTATTTTTTTTATTTCCAAGTGGTCTTTTTACAAGATTTAAACTATTTCTTGTTACAATAATACTTCTGTTCTCATTAAATTTAAGTTCGAGAATTTCTGGACATAACTTTTTTTAGTTTTGCTGCTTGTCTTAAAAATTCGTCTAAAAGTAAGAATTTGTTTCTGTGATTTTCATTCATTTTCCAGTTCTGCAGTAGAAAAAAGTAAGTTCTAAATGTTGATAACGATAATGATAATGATAACAAAATTTCGTGACCAGGTCAAATCAAATTTATGATCAATGATTTCCAGGTCCTTGGTATGATGTCATCATTTAAATTTGAAATTGCGGGCATATATGCCCGCAAATTGACGTTTGAAAAATCGATTAATGTATGTTTGTACTACCATATACAAGATACCAATAAGTACAGTCAATATGACAAAAATATAAATTAATGTTAAAATTACTCAAAATTTTACTAAGATAATCTATATAGTTTTCTAAATAAAAATTGGTTAGAACCTAAAAAAATATATAATCATATATTTTTTAGACAAATCTATTAGAGCTTGAACATGCTTTGGACACTCTTGGACACTTGGAAGTTGGATATGGTCAAAAAAGCCTTGGACAGTGAAAAATATACAACACTGCGTACAGTATCAGTATACCATAACGATAACTACCTCATGTTGGTGACGATACTGGAGAAGATACATATAAAGGTGACCCAGGTACAATCTACCACCAAAACCGGTTTCGATCTTTTCAACTTACAACTTTTTTGTGATACCATAATATGTATGCAATATCCATACACGAATGCAATATAAACGTTATTTGATGAAAATAAGCAAAATTATCGTTATTCTTATAACAGGTAAGGCTTTCAATACTGTTAATACAACTACCAGTATTGGAGAAGCAATGGAATTTATATACGTATAGAAAAATTTTTTGTTAACGATAATAAGTTAAATCAATGAAGCTGTGAAATCAGCCATGATCTAGGAAAATCACAGGGATTTTTCTAATCCATCACCCAATAGGGCACCAAAATCCAAACTTTAGTTATAATAATTTTTTATGCATTAAATAGAATAAACAACTGAAAGGCATATTTACATCTTATAATTTATTAGTATCAAGTAAACAATCCGTATGACTTCAATAACATGGAATATTAATGATAAATCCACTCTTTTAAATGTAGATTCAAACAAACTTGGAGTAAATTATATAGGTAAGAATATGTATTTGTTTTTATAAATGTGTATCACCAAGATATTTCATATAAAAATATCAAGGCTATATTACTTATTATTACCTTACTAAATTTTCTTAAAAATAAAAAGATCGTGGCGAATATAATGATGCAGTAATTCGTACGAATAACCCAATTCTGTTACAATACAAATTGTTTTATTTTGAAATTGATATTACAAATGATAGCAAAAATGAAGATAAAAAAAATGGGTAAGATGCAGAATATCTGGCAACATTAAATAAAATTCATTCCTTTATAATTTCTTTATTCTTTTTGAAGAATTATTGCAATTGGATTTTGCACAAAATCAGCCAAACTAAATAAATTACCCAGTAATTACAGAATTTACTTTTAATTGTCCATAAAAATATCTTATTTAAAAATATATTATTAATATATTTATTATTTATAGAGTGTGGTAAGAATTCATAGGGATATCATAACGATGATGGAAATTTTTTTAATTGTTCAGAGCTTGAAGAGCTATATGGTCCTACATTTAAAACCAGCGATACTATTGGGTGCTGTTTAAACTTTAAAAATAACACCGTATTATATACCAAAAATGGCGTAAATCTAGATAATTATTTTTTAATTCCTAAATTTATTTGAGATAAAAGTTAATAATTAATTGTTTTACACCATTTTTAAGGAATTG